ATACATAGCGTAGAGTTTCTTTTATTCTTTGTTAACAGTCAATATATAACATTGAAAGATTTTAAGCAAAAAAAAAGCAGTTCCTCATTTATACCGGACTACAATAAATTCCAACGAATTCCCATGGATGATGATGAAAACACATTTATATTGATTAAAGTTTAATATGAACATTATAGGCTAGATAAGAAACTGTAGATGATTACTATTCTCCGCATTGATTTTTTCCGAATGGTTACTATATGTTATAGTTTAGACGAATGATCTTCGATTCTTTATTTTTGCTACTTTTTTTTTAAAAAAGAGCGTTAAAAATGACTAAAATGAGAACTATTTATTAAACCTACAGAGAATCAACTCGATTAAAATCCAAGATAAAATGATGACTGTTGCAAAATATTCTATTTGATTGACTATTTTATTTAATAATAAACAAATTCGATTTATGTTAATTCTATTTAAAAAATAATCGAATATTAACTAACCATACTCAATTAAACCTTTTAAGAAATCTTTATACTGACATTTTTCTTTCATCGAATTAATATTCATCAGACGCTTCTTTTCTTTTTTATAATTCGATCAAATTGAATCAGACAAACGAACTCCTTTCCAGCGAAAGATTTTTTTTCTTCTATTTTATACGATTCGGATACATCAATGCAATAGATAATACTCATCAGATACATTGGCATCGTACACAGACTATTTCGAACATTTTACAGATAAAAACAGATTATCGACAAATAATTCTTATTATAGTTTTCTCGACAATTATCTATTATAGATATCATTTACAATAATATCCTATGGATTATGTTAGAAAGCATCATTCTGTAATCAATTAAATAAGATAAGACAGACCATCTACTGGAAAAAAAAGCAAATGTTGAATATATAAAGTAATGTTTTGGTTATAAATAGCCGATATATTTATTTGTGTATATGATGATAAATATTGTTTTGTGAATAAAACTGATTATCTGATTAAAAAATAACATTGAATTATGTAAGACCTATTATTTATTAAATAGTTTATTGAAATTAATTTAGATTGAATATAGAATAATGAAAAAGATCTCGAACAATAATTAATGAAAAATTTTTTCAAATGTCAACTATTTATTTTAATTATTTCAATACTTTGTTGAAATTTTATTTTTACAACCGAAGAAAAATTAAATATTTCAAATCGATGAATAAATACTTGTTTAAGTAAATAAATAAATAATTTATATTTAATATATATTTATTTAAAAACAAATCTTATATTTTAAATAAATCGTTTGAACTCTCGTTTAACATCGATTAAATCGTTATTTGTTAAATAAAATATATTTAAAATAAATTAAAGAAAAATGTAAATCCTTTTCACATATACAATTATATTTATTTATTTAATTATTTTTAAGAATTTATTTAGAAAAATTTCTTCTCTTGTTTTTTTGAGGAATAGATTTTTCTAAATTGAAAAAATAAAAAAAAATATTGTTTTATTAAGTCAATTTACTAAATCTAGTGTAAATAAATATTTAATTGAATTAATTTAACAAAAATATTCTCGAAAATGAATATTATTTATATTTTCTAATAAATAGAAAATTTTCATTTATTTAATTGTATTTTGTTTAAAGAGAATAATCACTAAACATATATTTAATTAAATAATTAAAAAAACATTTCTCTTTTCAAGAAATTAATATATTGTTTTTCAATTTAATCTAATATGTTCTTATTCATGTGGGCTTTTTTTTGGGTTAGAATTTTTTTGATCACCAGAAAAAAATACTTTTGATCACCAAGCAATTAAAAAAACAAATCATGACAGGAAAAGGATAGTTTTGATCACCACACATTCGAAGATACAAATGAACTCCAAAAAAAGAAACTTTTGATCACCAAATTTTACAACATGTGGTGTTGCATCATCTTTGCCATATTTATTGAATATTACTTTGATTTCATCAGCTTTTGTCTTCTTGGTTATTTAAATCAGTGATTTCTATTGCCGGATTAGTGACTGGAACCTATGTTTGTACAAAATTTAATAGAGTTTATTTTGAAAAATGTCAACCTTAAACTGGCCTCTATTAAGTATAGTTCATTCCCTTGATGAAGTTAAAGTTGTTGCTTAATTAAATGGTGTGTGTCAATATCGAATAAATAACCTTAAAAATGCTATTCTTGTAAACACTCAGTAGGTTTAGGAATTCTATTCAATTTATATCAAGTCAATGATAAGACACGTGTTGGACAATTAGATAAACGAAGAAAAAAAGACGTCCCAAAAAGTTAGCACAGCTTATGGTAAATAGAGATGTAATAAAGGTGCTCAAATATTCCATGTCTATTTCTTGTTTCATTTCTTTTTTTTGTTTGAATGTTGTACTTTTTTGGAGAAATAAATATGCTGAGTGGATACTGGAAAATCTGGTGACCAAAAGTATCTTTTTTTGGTGATCATTTGTATCTTCGAATGTGTGGTGATCAAAACTATCCTTTCTACGTCATGATTTGCTTTTTTAATTGCTTGGTGATCAAAAGTCCTTTTTCCCCTTTTTTTTTTATTCTTCTCAACTATGGAACAATTCTCTTCCTTTTTTTTACTTTTCATAACAAACAATTTGTCGTTTAGTGACAAAAAAAAGGTTAAAATTTGATTTTGTTTGTTTGCTTGAGTTTGATCATAAAGAAGAAAAAAATTATTCGTGTTTAAATAAAATATCTTCTATATCTAAAATAAAATCATGTCATGGGAAATGGAATTAGATGAAAGTTTATTAGAAGAACTATATCAATGGATTGATAGTCTTTCATTATCACGAGCAAAACAAAGAATTGAACGAGATTTTTCCGATGGTAATTTAAATAAATAAATTATTTCTATTATTTCTATTATATTTAATTAAAGGTTTATTAGTTGCTGAAATAATTTATTATTATTTACCAGAATTAGTCGATTTACAAAATTATAATTCAGCTAATTCATTAGAACATAAAAAATCAAATTGGAAAATGTTAAATAAAAAAATTTTATCAAATATTGGTCTGGATATACCAGATGTTATTATAAGTGGTCTTTCAAATTGTAAACCAGGTCTTATTGAAGTTCTTCTGTTTAATTTAAGATTAAAAATAGATGAACAATTAGAATTAAAACAAAAAGCTATTCAACAACCAATTAAATCATCAATTGATAGAAATAAAAGAAAAAATATCTCAAATCTTAATTATGAAGAAGTAAAACAAGAATATCTTCAACAACAAGAACAAATTGAAATTCTTAAAGCTAAAATTCGTCGACTTGAACATGTTCTTCAATTAAAAGATACAAGAATTAAAGAATTATCCACTATTCTTCAACATCATTAATTATATAATTAAACATTTTTTCTTTTGTTCACATACATACTGACTCAATTTACAAAACAACAAGAATTCTTTAAAATTATTGTCATCTTCATTTAATTTACTTAATCAAAATAAATTTCAATCATATTTACTTTTTTATTTATTTACTCGAATAAAATATTTTATTTAGTTTAGCATATTATTATCTATATCAATTTAGACAAACAAAAAAACAAAAACAACTAAGAAATAAAAAGATTTATTTTATTTTTCGTTTTATTTATTGAAAATCTCTTACAATTTATATTTAATCAGTAAACAATCTAAAGTTACTTTATGAAGATTTTTTTAAAAAATTTATCAATTATGTATAATAGAAATTCAAAATTAACATAAAACTTTTTATAGTCCTTTGGTCTCAAATTCATAATGAAATTTTGCTTTTTTGCAGTTTTGGTATTTTTTCATCCGCTTTATTTTTTATATGCAATAGAAGATATTTATTATATATAATGGCTATAGTCATATAGAGGTCGCGATCCCCTAAAATTAACGCTATGTTAAAAAATCGACAACTATTAACAAATAGAAATAATGACTCTGGTCCTTCTGCAGTTTAGCCACGCCCTTACGCTGATTGGTACATTACACGCAGCAATCAACGTGAGGGTGAGGGCGAGAGTGTGACTAAACTACAGTAGTGCCCACTTTTTTCTCACATATTTTCTTTTTACCCTTTTATAAATCCAGTCCAACAATCTGCTACTAATATCATACCATTATATAGCTTATAGTGTGCTCTAGCAAGCATCAAAGTATGGTGATAAAATAACAGAAAGTCGTTTCAGAAGAAGTGATCAAACAAATCCTTTCTCCGCCTGAGTGTGAGATCAAAGGACTCTAGAATCGCCACCGTTGTCAGGATCAATGTCCATTTTTGATCATAATAAAGTAATTATAATAAATTAGTTAAATCGCTATTGGCAAAACGTAGCTACTGTGTTTAAGTGAATATTCAACCAATAAAAATATAAGAACCACATAAAAAATGTATGTTTGTGCAGATTCGCGATAGGTGTTGTAGTGGGTGGATGATAATTTTTTTTTTGAAATTTTTCGTGATTTATTTTTGATAGGATTATTAATTTTTAAGGTGCTGTAGGAAAATTTGTCCGGTTGCTTAGGAAGGTTTTGGTGGTATTTTATGGACTATATGTGGTAAAATATGCTTGAGTACTGATTGGGAGATCGATTCTGATTAGTGTTCGTGCTAGCTTCACATCGATAAAAAGTAATATACCATACCACTCATTGTGTCAAATGCAACGAAGAAATTCGATATCAGTTAGTGTGCTATCACATCAACAGAATAGAAAGAAAAAGTTGGAGAGTATAATAGAGTGGCAATACCTTCAATGTTAAGTGAGAACAACAACGTGTGTGGTTATGTATCGCTTGGTTGGGAGTGTGTACGATCGGCCTTCGAACAGAATTTCAATGAGGGACTGGATATCGGGGCAAGTTTATGCGTCTATCATCGAGGAAAATGTGTTGTAGACTTGTCTGGAGGATGGAAAGATGGAAAGACGAAGAAAGACCCCTATACAGAAGATACACTTCAGCTTGTTTTTTCAACGGCAAAAGGAATAATGGGTGCTGCAGTAGCCCTTTGTGTGGAGAGGGGTTGGCTCGACTACGATGCACCTGTGACGAAATATTGGCCACAGTTTGGTCAAAATGGAAAGGAAGTAAGACATAGTCATTCTTTATTGAAATAAACTCGTTTCTTGAAGAATATTTTGTTGAGCGATCTACTATCTCATCGAGCTGGTCTTCCATACATCAATCAACAATTGACAGTTGAAGATGTCTGCAATTGGTCTAGAATGATATCGTTATTAATTGCTGAAAAGCCTCATTGGAATCCTGGATCGACACATGGATATCATGGTCATACGATTGGATTTCTTGTCGGAGAATTGATACGATACGTTGATCCTCAGCATCGTTCTTATGGCCAATTCGTTCGTGAGGAATTGGATGATCAATGCTATATAGGTGTATCTGATGATAAAGTCGAAGCACGTGTTGCTCCTCTCATTCGAAAACAGGTTAGTGAACGAGATCATCCGACTCAAATTCTCTACAGAAATATTCGTGAACGGTACGAATGTGATGAGAGAAGTCTCTCAAAATATCTTATGATCTTTTAAATACCTGATAATACAATCCTTTGGATTGGAGCTGTGAAAAAGAAGCTCTAGTCAAACTTCTTGTGGCATGCGCATGAAAAACGTGAACATCTCGAGCAAGAAAGTCATACGCTATGGACACATCTTGAGGTCTGTGCAGGTCAAGAATGATAAAAAAAAGTTCATCTAGGGAAATTTTTTATTGATTAACATTAAGATCATAAATTCCATAGATAACTGAATCTTGTTTTTATTTAAGGCTAATAATATGAATAGTGATGTCATAAATTCATTGGATCCGCTCGCTGAAAAAACGCTATCATGTAGTGGTGCTTTTCCTCTCGGACCATATCAAAATAGTAGTGGAATCATTTATAATGAAGTTCAAATTCACCGAGCTGAACTGCCAGCTGTCAATGCAATAACCAATGCTCGTTCTGTGGCACGTATTTATGCTAGACTGATGGGTGACATCAATGAAAATGGAAAGAACATTGAACGTCTTGTGAGTGAGAAAACACTAGCACAAGCCATTGAAAATGTTACACCAGTTGGAGAGCCAGATCGAACAATGCCAACTATTAAAACAGCATTTGGAAAAAGTGGCTTTCAAGTCTATGGGGAGATTTTCAACGTCTTCGGTGACACTGTCTTCGGCCATAATGGTAAAATACTTCAATCCTAAATATTCTATTCAAGAATGAGTATATTTTACCTATGTTGATAACATGCTTTTCACAACAAAATCACATTTTGTGAGAATGAAAAACTTTCAGTAATCCTTTTCTAAGCATATGTAGTCTTGAATATATCTAATGCATTTATTCGTAATTGTTAACAGGTTTTGGTGGTAGTTGCGCTTTGGCTTATCCACCAGATCAATTGGCATATGCGCATGTGTGCAATCAACTTGATACAAGTGGATTCGTTATTGATCAGCGTAGTATCCGTCTTCTCGAAGCGATACAATATGCTCTCAATCAATCAAAAATATGCTAAATATATGAATAAAAGTCAATTAAAGAAAAAACAGAATAATTCAAATAAACATGACAATAATCTTTTCTTATTCACGGATTTTTCAATGTTTTTCATGTGCAAGTTGTGCGGATATGGACGTACGTTACGACAGGTGTAGGTACGCGCGACGGAAAGAATCACATTCACACGCAAGATATTTATTTAGTTTTTTTTTGATTTTTTTAAATAAAATTTATCAAAATCATTATTTTTAATGTTGATACTCTATGGAACCTTCGATGTCGGAAGCTCTATTGTCGGTAAGCTCAACTAATCACAGCTTTTATGTTGGTAGGCGCTGAGGTCAGGAGCTAAAATATCAGGAGCTCAAGCGTCGATGAGTCTACCTATGTCCATACTCGCACCAGTAAAGGATAAACAATGAAGGTTTCTTTTATTTTTTCGTTCGAGTGAGAATGTACTTTGTCAATAGTTAGACTGAAAAGACAACACATTAGTAAATATGTATATAGGTGTTATCTCTGTTCTGACTATCTTTTTTCTAGTGTTCATAGAATATAATTGATTTTCTTTTCGTTTTTTTATATGATCTTAATGGTAATTCCTAAAATAATAATTTCATTTTAGATTAATATTTCTAATGGATCTAGATGAAGTAAGACTTGGTGATTTACAGAAATAGTAGATTTTTGAAAATGATTATTTTTATTTTGAAAGGATTTGCTATTGTCATTTAATTAATGAATAATTTTGTTTTTCGAGTCTCATTTGAAGTAAAGATGAATAAATAATGAAATAATTGAAGAGTAAACAAAATCTACTGTTCGAACTTCTTATTCAAATTATAAAGAAATATAAACACATGAAGTTTCTCCGCTGATATGCTCTTTCTTGAATAATACTATTTAGTCTGATTGTTTGATAGTTAAATAAAAGATTAATTATCAGTTAAAGGAACAAAAAAAACAAATAATTCTATATAAAACCGGAGTTTAATATCTCGAAATGAAATCGAAGATTTTATTAAACATGATCGAGTATATATCATTATTGTTGATTTGAATAATCGACCTGTGATAAGCGATAATTAAATTGATATTTAGACGGATTGTAGCGTCTGTGAGGATGCTTGCGAAAGAATTGTTCTAACAAGAACCTATTCGACATTTTTTATCAGGATGCTGCGATTTATGTACTATTAACAATTTTATTTGTGAAATTTCTCATAAAAGAATTTATGAATTCGAAAGTAATGTTAGTCAAGCAAAACTTGATGAAAACTTATTTAAATTTTTGACGGAAAAAACCATTTCTAATTGTTACTCAATTAAGTTAAATAATTGAAGGGTATGTAGCAGTTTAATTTATTTTTTTCTAGGAAAAAACTGAAAAAATAAAGAACCGAATTATAGCATAAAATTGTATAGAATTGTTTGTAGTTTTATTAAATATTTATTGTTTTTTATATAAAATTTTTTTTCTTAGACAATAAAATTAAATGAAGATAAATAAAGAATTTGATGAATATACGTTTACAGTTTAATTTATCTCTAAAAACATCTATATTATCTTAGAATTTATTATTACATGGAGATATTAAAAAAATATTTTGAAGATTTTTCATTACGAAGATCTATGTCTTGATTTTTATTGAAAAATTTTTCAAGATTATTCATCAATTAGTTATTAAGAAAAAATATTTTGAAATATAAATTCATATTTAAGCATAACAAAGACTCAAATTAATGAAACAAGATATAAATGATTACTCTAGAACAATGGAAACAATCTATTGTTACTCTTAGGATAGGAGATGTGTAAGTTAGCTTTTACATACGATTATTCTTATATATAATTATCCTATAAAACTTATTTATTTTCTCTTTAGGCATATTCAATAAAGATACGGAGTCTGTTTAAACAATTTCCTATTTTTGCACCGGTAAAACTGAGTCAGAGACAAAGACAATTATTGAGATTTATCTATATGACATTAATTTTCTCGAAAAATCAAAGTAAAGAATTTCAAATGAAAATCTTCTCTAGAAATATATTTCAGGACGAATCGACTTCGTCAATTTCGAATAAAATAACAAGATGATTATAGAATTTTTCTAATGTAAGATTTATTTATTTTTTCTTTAGAAAACTTTGACAACATCAAAACGGCACGTGGTGAAGCAATCGTTGGAGATTATTGAAAACAATTAAGGGAGTAAAACATCATTTAATATAGCTTTTAATTGATTTCAAGTAAGAAGATTTATTTTTAAATGAATATTAATCTTTTTACTAATTATTTCACTTCTTCAAATTGCTTATCTGAATAAAGATAAAAAAGATAAAACATAAACAGGCGTATTACATGAGAAAACTATCTTGAGAATGGCTGAACGTATCGAGTTGTCATTTGGTTTATAAGGGTTTCTCTAGGTGCTTTTTCTTTTTCTCTCGAGAAACTTTCCTCTAAAATGCTCGAAAGTTAGCTTTCTAGAAAACCATGTATTTTTTAGCTATAGATGATTAAAAAATGAGTTTTCGAAAAAAACTGACAGCTAGAAAAGATTTTTTAGTATTATGTTCGGATTCAGCTTCGAAAGACGAAGATTTAAAAACAATCCAAGTCTCTAACACCGAATTTAGATTTTTAAATTTAATGACAAATTTTTAAAATTTTACTTTTTTAAAATTTAAAATAAGTCAACGTAGGTAGATGACAGAAAGCTGATCCAAACGTCAATCGATAAAGAATTCAAAGTTGAACAAACCTAGGGATTATGAAAAATTCCCTAACAAGCATAAATCCGAATGCTGAAGAATTCCACTGTAAATAATCAAAAGTAAAAATAGGATGTCATCGTTCCTTTTGGCGAGTATCGACAAGTGGATGGACATACAGCGAAGACATGCACACCGACACATTTTGCAACTCTGGAATAAACATTTCTATCTTTCAATCATAGATAAAGAAAACAGAAAGATGTTATTAACAATGAACGTTTGTTTTATTTTTGTTAAAGTAAGAATGTACTTATAAGAATTACATTGAAAAACAAAGATATCAGTAACACATCTATAGATGTTATATATCTACTGGCTGCTATTAAATATAATTAACTTCGTTTTCTTTTTTTTCATATAATCTCAATGCAATTTCGTACAAAATATTTTTATTGTAGATTAATATTTCTATTAAATCTATATCGAATAAGATTTTCTCGTTTACACAAAGAGTACTTGTTGAAAATAATTATTTTTATTGTGAGATGATTTTCTATTGGCATTTTATCAATGGATGAGTTTTATTTCAGGATCTGATTCGATGTGAAAATGAAGATATAAATGAGATTTATTTCGAACAATTTTCATAAAGATCATTAAATAATGAAATTCTTTAAGACAAAACAATATTAACTTTTTTAAAATAAATTATAAGATACTATAAATCAATCAAAAATAAATTCAAAATAATTTAAATATTTATCATTATTAACCAATCAATCAATTTTATTTATTTAAATATTATTTTGTTTTTTTTTATCGAATATAAGAATCCGATTCTCTCACGAATATAAATCAAATTTTTTTTAGAATAGTTTTATTATTTATTTAATTTATTAATTAGTCAGATGATCAAATTAAATTAAATAAAACTAAAAAATTAATTATATAAGATAACCATACAAAGATTAGAAGATATAGAATAAGATAGTGATAATCATTATAGATAGAGGAAATTAGGATATTTTATTCAAATGAGAATAGATATCCAAGTTAGTTCAACCTATAATTATTTTCATATACAGAAACAATCGATTCATAACATGTTTATCGTATCAAACTGATTTATTTAGTATTTACATAAATTGAAAAGTAAGGAGAATCTCTTTAAGAATGTCTTCAGTTTCGAACAAAAACAAAAATAACAATTTTTCATATTTAAATATGTGACAATGATTATGAATATATCTTTGGACAATTTCAATTCGTAACTATTGAACAAAATAAATAGGTAATTATCGAATTTTTCTAAAATTGATCATTTATAAGAATATATAATTAATATGAAATTGATAATTCTAATTAATAGAACTATTCTATAATGACATGTAGATATATTGTACAAAATTTTCATAAAATAATATTGACAAGATGATCTATTCATAAAGATAATTTCATATTGAAACTTATTTATATGATTATCTAATTGAAGTAATATTATTTGAATAGATTCCATTAAACGAACTTGATTATATCTTATTAAAATGTGATAAGACGAAACTGTGTTGGACTTATTCGAATAGAGTCATGTTCTTTTTATGGTCAAAAAGGATAATTTGAAATGTTTGACAATACTTCGAACAGTTTCATTTTCTTCTTTTTACTATGTTCATTTCCGGATAGAAAAAGTTATTTGAAAAACAATAACCGATAATTAATAAAAGTCCAAGTTTCTTTGTTTTTAAATCTGATCGTTGTTCTTATCATAAGAATTATTCAGTTATTTGAAATATATTGACTATGTCAATATAGAATGTTGTTATATATAATCTAATGAAGATTTTAGCTCATTTAAAATAACAATATTTATTTCAATATGAATATTTATCCATTTTTATCGTAAAATCGTTTATTAAAATAGAGATGACAAAGATAAAATATAAATTAGCAATGAATTTTAATTTTTAAATGTATTTCGTTTTACTAAAATGAGCTGATAAATAATTGATTATGTTTTTCGAAATAAATTCTTTTTTTTCTGTATCCTCTAAAACTACATATGTATGTTCAGTCAAATATGAAAGAATTCAAGTCAATTCTATTCTCTAATAGAGATTATAAAATCTAATTACTCAGATTTTCAATAAATTTTATTTATTTATTTAAATTCTAATCTGAGATATAAATAATTTAATAGAAAATTCAAATAGAATTCTAAACAAAATAAGTTCAATTGACCAAAAATAATCTTTATATAAAAGGAAATTTGGTTTTCATAATTCTTAACTTATCTAGAT